TCTGAAGACATTAATTTAAAAAATGCTGTTGTCTATACTTTCCTTGCTTAGAGCAATGTTAAAAACAAGTGTTACTAAAAATTACATAAACTGGGGATTGTCTGAGGGAAGGAAAAGAACACTACTGTAAAACTGAAATATAGTATACATGCACATTTCAAATAGCAAATGTGGTGACAGATTTTACTCACAATTTAATGTATTTGATTATTTAAAATATACGTTAAGTATGTAATATTTTTTAAAAAGCAATTTACATAATCACCTTTGCTACTCTAATTACTTTTTATGGAAAAAAAAATGAAATTCAAACAAATGAGAATAGGTAATGCATAGACACAGATAAATACATAATACAAAAATAAGAAATACTAGACATGTAAATACAAAAGTATTTTTTCACAGCAGTCCTTAAACACTACCGCTTGGACACAAAGTACATACCACTCACCACAGATTACACAGGCAGGAAATCTGCATTATACTCACACAGAAGCTACGCTACCATCCCTGTTTAGGATTCTCTTCAGGATTTAAGAAATGCTATGCTTGCTTTGAGCTATGTTCAGTCCAAAAGGAAAAATGATAAAAGCCCAAAATGATAAAAAATTCCCAAAAACTTAAGGTGACATAACAGTTTCAGCAATAAAACTGCATATTGAAAAACATTTTTAGAGAAGTATGTGAAGCAAGCAATCTAGCAGCATGCAGGAATTATATCCTGATTGAATATACTGGGATGTGGTCCAAACTAATCTAAACTAAAGCAGGTCTGTGTAATAACTTATCTTAACAATCCACAGATGTTAGGCAACCAAACAAACGCTCTGATGAAGGATTACAGTGCTCTAATGTGGCTTCTGGACCTCCATGCGATGCATCAGTAAAATGAAGAGTGTTAGACAATTTTATTCTGGCCTGTCACTTCAAAAATGGTTTCTGTTTACTTTTTTTTTTCTGATGGTGAGCTCTGTTGCAGCACTATAGTAAGTCTTTCAGGACATCCATAGTCTGATTTTTGATGCTGGATTTGTTTCTGGTTTACTGGAGCCTTGCATAAATCAATGCTTATCTGCACATGAGTCCGTTAAAGAGAACCACTAACAGGGTATTGCTCATTCAAAGAGTTCATATGCACAACTCGGGGAAAAATACGCATTTTCACAGCATAGCAAGGGGTTCTAGGCTTTACTGCTACATAACAAAAACAGAGGCACATACAGGAGGTGGGTCAACAGCGCCCACAGAGATTCACGGAGAAAACATTACAGGCTGTGTGAAAACATGCTAGCATGCTTGCCTTCAAGTGGAGTATGGTGAATTTCATTCACAGAAAAAATATTCCTCAAACTTACTCTTACAGGTACTGCTGAATGTGATCCACAATGAGTAGGAACAGTTTTCCTGTACTAACACAACATGAAATTCCAACTTGAAAGATCCCATAGTAAATAATATATACAACTATACACACACAAAGAAAATCAATATTTTCAGTTACAAAATTAAGAACACTTATTTATGATTACAAACTACATGCTAGAATGGAGAAAAAATCTAATTTGAATTCTGAACATGCAGTGGAATGCTAAATTCATGTCAGAGGGCAAACAAACTTCATAACAAATTTGTTTGACACATGCCAGACAAAAATCTCACTGAGCTCAGCGCAGTTTCCACAGATTTCCACAGATAATCTATATGCAAGCCCAGATTCTTAGGGGTTTCATTATGTACACATTCCTTCATGGTTTTGAGTTCAGGAACGACAGACTTGCAATATGCTGACCCCTATGCACCCTGCTTCATCTACATACAGGAAATTAGCCTTACCAACTGTGTTAGAAGGGCAGGCCACAAGTTATTCCCTGTTGAACCTTCATTAGTAATTATTTCCCTTCTGAAAGGTGCATATGCAATTTCCTATCAATTTATTCTATGCACTTCTAGAAGATTGTAGTTACTTCAAGCAGCACCAGGGAGACAGACCCTCTTCTCTGCCTGAGGTCTCATTTACTTCAGTGAAGCTCTGCCACGTCCTACAAGACGTCTCTTAAAATTCCGAGGGGAGGAACATTATCTATTTTCTCTTATGAAACTTTTCATTCATAGAATCAAGGTAGACCAAAGGTCACTTAATTATTTTGGGATAACATAATGTATGTATCAAAATGTAGAATTAGTATAGAGTATTACAAAATGAGTTAGGTAACATAACGCTAAAGTTACTTGACTGCATCACTCTATGAAAATCTGAATAAAAGCAGCTTAAAATCTACATAAATCCCTCCATTCACAACAAAGCAAAAATCTAAAAAAGCAAAACAAGCAAATCAACTCCCTTTGTTATGAAAATGTGCTTGCATTCAGCAAGTACATTTTTCAAAACTACAGGCTGTTTAGTCCCTCCAGTGCCTTCTGACCACCAAAAGTTAAGGCCATCTCTCCACATCCTGCCTTTAAATTTATTTTCCCTGTCTGGGTTTGTCTTCTCTCTCCTCTGTTCTTCTTCTTCCTTTCTCTTCCTTGTACCCAGGTATATGGTACCATATGCACCCTTGTAGCCCCTCTCTTGATTATCAGGTCTTCCTTAGAGACATTTGAACTCAAAAATGTAGTAGAATTTTTACCTGTAATTTTTCATCAGGTAATGATGAAAATCAGGTAATTTTTCATACATTTTATGCCACATCCATTTTTATCATGACTAGTGAAACCATATGGCCAGAAATGAGCAAGAAAATGGGTAGAAATGTCTTCCATGACAGTGACTTACTCTCTCATGTAGAGAATCATAGAATCACAGAATGCTTAAGGTTGGAAGGGACCTCTAGAGGTCATCTAGTCCAACCCCCTGCACACACAGGGTCACCTAGAGCACGTGGCACAGGACTGCGTCCAAGCGGGTTTTGAAGATCTCCAGAGAAGGAGACTCCACAACCTCTCTGGGCAGCCTGTTCCAGAGCTACATCTTGATGCTGTATCAATACCACCAGTGCATGAAACTTGGACAGATTTTTTTTGAGCACTAAAGTCAAATGACATTAAATAACCTGTACCTATACTAGATTCTCTGCTGTGTTTCAAGATCAGGTAGCTG